AATAGAAAATCCTCATATGCTAGCATTTCATGGGTCATGATTCTCCAGAATTTGGATGATCTGCTTAGTACTAGTTGAAGTAAGAAAAAGTTAGAAAACACTGCTCCTCACATTGTCTCAGAAACTACAGAATCTCTTTGAAATCAATTTTTTTTGGATTTTGAAAAGAAATTAAAAATGGATTGTTATCTGTGTTCAGTGCCAGAGAAAGAAAATACTTTTTTCTTTGCAGTATTTGTGAATTTTAGGGCCAAAAATTAATCTTTGCTGTGACATTTTATTATTATATAAAGCCTCTTTCTCATAATCCCACTTGAAGCTATACACATTTTTTATGCCATGAAACACACACACTGGTTTGTTTGTTTTAATTTATTTTTTGGCTGCATTGGGTCTTCATTGCTGCGCATGGGCTTTCTCTAGTTGTGGCGAGCGGGGGCTACTCTTCGTTGCGGTGCGTGGGCTTCTCACTGCGGAGGCTTCTCTTGTTGCAGAGTATGGCCTCTAGGTGCATGGCCTTCAGTAGTTGTGGCTCGCGGGCTCTAGAGCGCAAGCTCAGTAGCTGTGGCACAGGGGCTTAGTTGCTCCGCGGCATGTGGGATCTTCCCAAACCAGGGATTGAACCCGTGTCCCCTGCATTGGCAGCAGATTCTTAACCACTGTGCCACCAGGGACATCCACACACACACTGTTTAATACAAACGAGAACTAGGAAAACACTCCCAAAATGACCTACTACTTCCCTCTCTTTCCCAGGGGAGGTTTTGTTTTGTGGTCCCCAAAAGGATTTTAAAAATCAACACCATCTACTCAAGGAGGGGCAGTAGAGGATCTGATGACTGCCCCCCACACACACATAACAGTAAGAGGATGCTGATGAGGAAATGTAGCTTGGTATCAGGGCACTGAGGTCAGTCCTCAGCCCAGCTCTGCGCGCAGTGGAAGCTCAGATACATCCCAATCCAGTGGTACAACAGAACTTTAGTTACATCATTCCTATCAGGGTTGCAGCAAGGATCCAGTAAGATCATATCTGTAGAAATGCTGCCAGAGCTGTAAAGCACTGCTTAAGTGTCAGCTTCATGTTATGACATGATCTGCTTGTGACAGGGCCGCTGGTCCCGTAACCAGGAGCAGATGCTGTGGTGACATCAAAGCAGGATGCAGAACTTCACCATAGATGGTGAACCATCTATGAAGCTATGCTGTTTTGATCTTGCCCACCAAAACTTCAATAATTCAAGGCACTGGGAGCGACCAAACATCCATATCTCAAGGTGAAGATAATAGGACCTCTGATCCAAAAGGAAAACACAAACACATACCAATTAGCTGCTCTTCCTACAAAGAATACCAGAATCCAGCCTTGCAGAAGTAGTTGCTTGCCTACGGATCCACGCAGGGAAGTAGAGTTGAATGCAGGTTGCTTTTACTCTCCTACGGCTCTGGCTTGACTGGGAATGAGGGATAGAGAGCAAAACCAATCTGTAGTCCAAATCCAGCTTCCCCATAAAGCCACCAATGCTACCCTGAGGTTCTAAATGTGTTCAACAGGATTCTAGATTTCTCACCATCAACTACCAACATATTATCAAATACCGATCACACAAAAAAATGTGTCGACCTGAGTTGGGTTTGGGGGGGCTAGTGGTTTTGCTACAGGCTTTCCTACCTTCGCCAGTATTAACAGCGTCATTGCAGGCTGTGTCTGGGTTCCAGACTAGTGAGTCACAAATGGCACTTACATAAATCTGTGCTTGTTTTTGTACTACCTCTCTTTGTAAGCTTCTTCATACTTGGTATGCCACTTCATGCCCCGAAAGCCTAGTTTTACACTGCAGAAAGTCTTCTATGTCTCACTGTACCCACAAAGTCTAACCCCGCATTCAGACTTACAGGCAACAAAGGGCTTAGTGGATACAGCAGCAACAAGGTAAAAGGCTGCAACCCCCAGAGGCACCCACAGGTACCCAGGGTGGAACTGGGTTGTTGGTGGGTTGTGTTTTCTCCAAGAATGCCTCACAGAAGATGCAGCTACAGTGGAACTGGATATAAACACCTTATCAGCCATTTCTCCAAGAAGCTTATCTAACATTTTGCACCTTATATAACTGACATTCTGAAATTAATGCCTCTTATGCAGAACACACCTAGCATTTGAAAAGAAAAAGAATTAGGGCCCCCGGAGGCTGTATGACATCTTTTCACCAAAACCAGAAGTGTTTGCCTTTCACTGGTTGTTTCATGTATGTGTGTGTGTTTAGATGTCAGATCAATTTTATCTACAAAAGATCAATTGTGAAGTTCATTGGGCATCACTGGAAAATAACACCCTGCAATCAAACATCCCATTCACCTGGGTTTTCATGTCAGTGGGTGCAGTGTAGCACTTTCCTGATGGAGAGTGTTTGACGGTTGCATCTATGCTCCAGAAACTTGTTCACTATCAATGCATTCATGGAAATGAAGCTGGGGATCATCTGAAGCACTTGGGCAAACAGAACAGAAGACTGTGAATAAGAGCTGTGGATAAAAGCAGGTCAGACTCAAGAAGCCAAATAAAGGTCAGAAAGGCCCTTTTATAACCTGGTGCATTGTTTTATGAATTCAGATTAACCCTGATCAAACTCCCAAGACATGATAGCCAGGTACAAGAAAGATCTGTTACAGTTTGGTCTATAAGGTGGGTGTAAGTCTGATAATTCAACAATAATATTAAAAATCGAGAGAAAAGACCTCATGGTTTCCTCTTAACGTTACCTGAATATATTCAATAGCTGTTTGACAAGCAATAAGCAGAGTCTGATTAAACGATTCTTTTCCAGCAAAGGCTACTGAGCCTCTTTCTATGTAGCTGCATCTTAGGCAAACATATTAATTGCTTCAAATAGGTCCCTGTCTCATGTGGGCTTCCCTAGAAGCAGAGGCTAAGATGGGGATTCTTTGCAAGTGTGTTATTGGGTGTGCTCTTGCGAGACAGGGAGAGACGCAGGATAGGGCAGGGGGAGAAGCCAGCTGGATATTAGCTTCAACTTGATCTCAAGGGGACCACTGGGGAACAACTTATACCAGAGTCATCCCAGCTTGAGGGAGGAACCAGACTCCTGTGTGCTCTTAGCAGCAGCTGGGGGATGGGTGTACCAGCCAGCTGAGCAGCAGGACACTAACAAGTCCACTATGGTAGCTAAGATGATGGGACTAAATCTCTAGGAGCCAGACTGTGTGGTAGGAGATGCAGTTCTCATCCCAACCCTGGCCTCACTAAGGACATGATGATATGGCCACGGGCCCCTCACATGGCCTCTGCAACTACCAATTTCCTCATCTGTAAAATGGGAGAGCAGGGGTGGTAGAGTTGGATTAGACGATCCCTGCACAATGTGAAATGCAATGATTTCAGTAAGGGAAGTGGGCGGAGGCTCACTGAGGAATAGTGGTTGTTTTCTTCTATTCATGGAAAGGAGTTAATTAATGTAAATGTGTCCCTGAATAACTAGTCCATTGAATACTCTTCCCTCACCTGGAATAGCTCTGGATACACAGGCAAATCTAGGAAGACAAGCAATAAAGTTGCCCTGAAGGCGTATGTTCTAAAAAAGGATGGCAAGGCTCTGTTTTCAAACAAAGTGCTTTTGTGGCAATTTACCTAAAGGGAGCATTAATACAACCAGGCAACCTCATTTAACTGACTCCTGTATCAAAGCAAATTAGAGGCAAGAGGCTGGAGTAAAGCATGAGCCAGAGGCTGTCCCTGAAAAACTACACAGCCTCTAGGGGGAGCAGTTTGGAAACATCTATCAAAATTATAAATACATTTATTCTTTGCCTGCACAGCACGCTCTCTGGGAATTTATCCTACAGGTATATATGTGTGAAATGACATTTATATGAGTTTATTCATTGTGCTACTTTTTCAAAAATAGTCCAAGATTGTGAACAACTCAATGGTCCATCAATAAAGAACTAGTTAAAAACAATAACAACTATGGTACCTTCCATACAGTGGAATACTGTATAACCCAAGAACATCTGTACGGGTACAGAAGGTTCTCCTGGATATATTGATTAGTGAAAAAGCAAAGGGAAGAACAGTATTATCAGATTAGTATGTATATTATAGACACATATGCATACATAATATGTTTGCTTCTTTCTGTGTAATGGAGGTAATAAGATCATATAGTTATACTCAAGTGTATCCATAGATATCTAGAAGTCAGTTTTTGTGTATCCGGAAAGATACCCCCCAAAAAACTTTTATGAGTGGTTATCTCTAAGGGATGAGGGAGTGAGAAAATGGGATGGATAGAGACATAGGTGGGAGTGAGAAATCTCACCAATGCCTTTTTACAGATTTCCTTTCTGGATTTTTTTCCCAACCATCATAGGTTTTTCTGTAAGGAAAAGGGAGGAGCTGTTTGATTAAAAAATAAAATGGAAATTTAAAAGGCAGGCATCAATCAAAGCTGGTCATTCCAACTTCCCTTATCTCATGCTTTCGTTCAGGGATTGGCAAACTGAGGCTGTTGGTTAAGTAGTAAGACCATATGGCTCACAATGCTGAAAATGTTTACTATCTGGCCCTTTGCAGAAAGTTTGCCAAGTCCAGCTGTAAATCATGGAGTTGTTTGTAAAATAGTTGTACTCCTCCTATCAGTGAGCTTCAAGTACTTCTGTCAGTTTTGTCTTCTTTACGTCAGCTTTTCTGACCACAGAGAGTTATGCACCAAGGAAAAAGGCAGGATATTGCACCTGTTACAAAGAGCATGAACTCTGGGGACAGACAGCCCAGGTTTAAATCTGGGCTTTGTCCCTCACGACTATGTGGCCTTGGGCAACTAACTTCTTGAACTCAGTATGGTTTTCATCTGTAAAAGCTGGGTAATAATGGTACCTCCTTCACAGAGTCGTTTGGAAGGTTAAGTATGTTAATGCTGGCAAGAAGTTTAGTACAATGCCTGTTAGTATTATCATCTAATATTTTCATTTTTTATAAACAGGGTGATGACCAGTTAAATGTGTTTGAAGAAGACACCATAGGAGGTGAGCTTTATTTACTGATCAGACCAAAGTTGTCATTTTAGTAGCTCTGAGCATGTCTTTTTTTATTAAACACCACTAAGAGATAACAATCTACCAACAGCTTGTACTTTTCCCTTAGCCAGGGAACATGATTAAGATTGGGACTCTTTGGATCTCTCCCCTTTTGGTCCACGTAAAGAATCAAAGGGACGCCTTACTAAGAGATGCATTTCCTCACTGCCCAGAGAACATGAGCCCCAAGACGCTCAGTGAAGAGAGGATGCTCTGGTTAAAATGTTTGGAAAACACAATACCCAATCCCCTTTGGAAGATTCACATATATAAGAGCACAGCAAGACTCCCACATGTCCTGTAGGAAAGAGAGCTGGCTATCTTTAATTCACCATTCTTCAAATTTTATTGGAACACAAAAGTCTTTTTCCTGCATCGTGGTTACTACTCTGCAGTGTACCATTGGGATGCAACTTAAGAAACACCTAAATTATACTGCTTCATAATTTTGTCATGTTAAAAGTCTTGCCAAAACTAAAAAAATCCAACCATAATTAGCTACACATGGAACTGAAAATAGATAAAATTATGTGAATTTGAGTTTGTCCAGAAAAAGATAAGTTTCATGATTGCCCTAGAAAAAAAATACCTGCTATCATTTCCACTCTGTGATAACTGTTGTTATAATTATGGTCCGTGGAAATATATTTACATTGACTGGGAGCATATACAAGTAAGTGAATTGGCTTTCTAAATAACCCCAGCTCTAATCCTGCTGCTCCATGAGCATGGGGTAGTAGATAAAGTGTCATTTGATGATAATGGCAAGAGCAGGATGTAAAAATTGCAGTCACCAAATGACATAATGGTGACTCATGAGGAAAAGGCACATAAACATGAAGCAAGTGCAAATAATCAACTCAGCCCCAACTGGATGGGGATTGATTGATTGCTGAATAACGTTTCCTCTTTTCCTGGTTATAAAATTAACACACATTCATATGGAAATTTTTTTAAGGTAGAAAATAAGAGCCATCTAAGACCTTATGACCTCTGAATAATCATGGGTAACATTCTGGTTTATTTTATTGTAGTGTACTGTCTATATACCTATTTTTACCTAGTTGAGAATACATGTGTACGTACAAACATTATCTCCAATATTTTGTACCTATCATAACATAAGCATGTTCCCATGTCATTGAAAACTCTCTATAAACTTAATTTGTAATGACCACATTGTATGAATGTACTATCATTTTATGAATGTACCATCATTAATTTTTAAAAATAACTAGTCATTTTTAAAAAATAACTATTTTTTTAAACTGGAATAAGATAACCATACTAATACTAACAATAATAACCACTTTCCTAGATTGCAAATACATTAAATGTTGCTCAGCTTCATAAAAGTAAACTAGAAGAAAAAAGTAAACGAAGTATGGAGAACATGAGATGACCGTTTGGCTCCACGTGTTAAAAGCATCAATCTATCTGCCTTTAACAGAAAGCTCCAGATAATACTCGATTTTTCCAGTCAGCATGGGCTATTCTCTAAAGAGACTGAAGCATCTGTTTGATTTCAGAGAACGATAACAAAAAATCCTTTCATGTGAAAACCAAATGGTTCCAAAGACCCCCAAATTCACCTCTTTCCTCTGTTTCCAGCTCTTTTTCCTTGTCTCCTTCTTCTTCTACCCCAACTCAATTCTTCATGCCCTATTCCCTCTCTCTCTCTCTCTCTCTTCTCTCTCTCTCTCTCTGTCGCTCTCTGTCTCTATCTCTCTCTGGTAGAGTTGGGCCTTTCACTCAACTAATAGTGGATTCCTGCAAAAATGTAGCATTGTGTATATAAGTGAACCATTTCATGACTACCTACTACATCACGTGACAACTGGAAATCTTTTAGGGCTCCTCAAACTCTGCAGAGTTTCACACTTTGCCAAAAATCCCTAATCATTCCTTTGCCTTAAAGCAGTGGTTCCCAAGATTCAGCTCTCACTCCCCACCTTCATGACTTTTGTTTTATCTCTATCCTATCTATTCTCTATATATTATATAGAATACTGTATACTATAATACATAATGTAATAGTATATATTATACTATACTATATAATACTATATACTATATAGTATAAAACCAGGGTTTCAATACAGTTTTTCTTTCTGTATAACTTAAATTATTCTTATTTTAAAGGTTTCACGGAAGATTTGAGAAAGTGTAAAATTATTTTCCTGATTGGTGAGTAACAGCCCTCAAATTTTCAACTGTAATTGCTAATAATAACCATGTGGTAAGGAAAAAAGACTACTCATTTCTCAACCTGTTTTGAAGTCTTGGCCCTTTTTTAGTCAAGATTACACCCCCGAGGCTTCCGGATCATTCCTTTCATTTATACAGTTTTATATTACTTTGGCTTTGTATCTTTTCAGCATAGACAAAGCAGGACTCTAAGGAATATCAAACTCCTGAGTTTAGCTCTATGATAATAAAATGCATTATAATCCCACAGGTAAAAGGATGCCTATGTCTATTAAAATCTAACACCTTTTCTGTTTGAACAATGACCTGCTCCTCCCTAAACTAAATACGTCAGTAACCACATATTCAAGTATACCTTAATAACCATACCCTGCATTCCATACAGCTAACAACAAAAACAATCTTGTTTGTTTTATGCCCTAGTGCAAAGAAACTCATTGGGAAATAAATTGTGGGACAAAATTCATTTCGGGTTAACCAGCATTTTCTGAGCACCTATTATGTTCCAAGTTATCTCGTTTAATCCTTTCACAATCTTATAGGTTGGCAGTCTATCCCTATTATATATCTATTACACAGACAAGAAAAGCGAGCCTCAGGAGGTTAAGCAACTTGTCCAAGGTCACAGAGCTTATTAGTATGAGAATCAGATTTCCAGTTTTTCTCTTGGGAATAAATGGGACTAGTTGCACAGCAGTTAAAATTACATAGAATAGGACAAAATATCGTCAGATCACCTCCCAAAACTTAGTGCTTTTCCCTCTAGCTAGTCAAGTCTATAGAAAAGTTAATACACTCACTTAATACTGTACATTTTTCAGAAAATACCTATTTATATTCAGAAATAATGAAAAGGTCCACACCTCCTCAATGAGTGGGAAAAAGAATGGTTATCAGCACCCTAGAAATATACTCAGATATACTTAGAATCTTGCACCCTAAAGTCAGGATTCTTCCTTGGAAATCTTTCAGTAAACCTCCCTAATTGTCAGATGAAGAAACTGAGTCACAGAGAATTTAAGGGTTTTGAAGCAGGTCATTCAAACAACTGGTAGCAGAGAGGAGACCAGGGTCCGTGGCTGTGGTTCCCCATTTCCAGGCCCTCCTCACCCCACAACTGAGTTATGTGGGTTGTCACCCTAGACGGTCCCCCACATTTAATCATCCACCAACTACTTACTGAATATTGGACCCATGCTGGGCAGTGAGCAGGGATCAGAGAGGAAAAGGAGAACTAATCAGGTTATTATCACAAACCTTGAAAAGCATTGGGAAGGAAATGAGCTGAAACAGCGAACAAGCAGGGTGAAGTGTTTGGGGTAAAAATGGGTGATCAGGGAAGTCCCTGTGAAAGCGACATTTAAGCAGGGAACTAAAGGACAAGATGGATGACTGAAGGGATTAGTGGCAGGTGAGAGGAAGACGAAGTCTAGCCAAAGTGAACAGCGTGTCTAAGCAGTGAGAATTCTTGAGCTCTACTGAGCTCTGTTTCTGACCTGCTTGTCTCTAGTTGACCTTAGCCTTGGGAACTGGATGGACAATTGCCTCACTTAGTTTACATTCTTTTCAGAAAGTAAAGGTACATTATGTCTACTCCTTACCAAAAAGAAACTCATCATCATAATTTCAAAGAATATTTCCCTTTCCACACAAATTTTAATCAATTATCTTGGCATCTAGAATATACACAATAAATTATACTTTCTGTCCAGCTTTTATCTTAGAGGCCAAATTAGGAAAAGGGGAAACTCTTTAAACTTGAAGTTCAGGAATCCAAAGAATGAGGCTTTATTATCACATAGCAATCTGTGTTTTTAATAATGTGGTCCAAAAAAAAGCTTTTTAAAATAGTACAGCATGTTTTGTGGTGGTTGTTATTGTCTCTAAGAATAATATTATTTCAGATTTACCCATTGTTTGGCACCATACTTGAATTTTGAGTGTATTTTCAAATATTGCTTCTATCTAGCCAGGCCTAAAGATCTCAGCTCACCTGTTACTAAGCCCTGTGCCCTTCAGAAGGTGAAATAGCACAATATAAAATCTGGCATCAAGACTTCCCTGGTGATCCAGTGGTTGAGATACCACGCTTCCGATGCAGGGGATGCAGGTTTGATCCTTGGTTGGGGAACTAAGATCCCACATGCCATGCAGTGCGGCCAAGAAAAAAAAAAAAGTCTGTCACCAGACAAACCTTAAGACCCTCCAGGGTCCACAGACCACACTAAAAACTGCCGCTCTGAATAAAGGTTTTCTTTTTTTTTATATCAACCAGACTGTCCTGTACTTCAACTTGTTAGTCAGTCACTATTCTAGAAAAGAAGGATTTCAGCTTACTGTTTGGGCCATGTACAAAGCAACTGCAATGAGAAGGAAAATGATGGTTCTCCTTCTAGGCTATTTACTGGATTCTGCTTGAAAATTAAGGCTTTAGTTCTAAATATACTTAAGCCTTGAACAGCATGGGTTTGAACTGCACGGGTCCACTTATACGCTGATTTTTTTCAATAATAAATACTACAGTACTACCCGGTCCAGGTTGGTTAAATCCACGGATTCAGAACCATGTATCAGCAGGAACCAAGTATTCAGAGAGCTGGCTATAAGTCATACATGGATTTTCAATTGCAGGGAGGGTTCGCACCCATAAGCCCTGCATTGTTCAAGGATCAACTGTACTTTCTCGACAGATGGCAGGATGGTATTTTGAGGCTGTATTATTGCAGGTCAATTTGAAGCTCATAAAAATACTCGGGCTGTCGTCGACACACCCATAGCAGTTTTGATGAGCTTTAATCACCACAGTCAGCTGATTTCAGTAAAGTAAGTGTGGTTTTGTCTATATGAGAAGATGGCTGAATTTTTCATTTTTCAAATTATTGTCCTGACAGCTACCAAGACAGGTGGGGTTGTAGTATTAGCCAGAACCTAGGTTGACATCTTCACTGTTAGTCTTAAGATAATAATATTAATATTCCTAAAGTATCCTGGTTTAAAGTCTCCTGGTTCCCTTTTGCCCACAGAAGGGTCCAACTCCTTAGTCTGGCCTCCAAAGCGCTCTCCCTACTGGTCTCAACGTGTCTTCCCCTTTTCCCACACAGGAGTCTTCAGCCCCAACCTCACCTGCACCATTATTATCTCTTGAACTTTCCTCTGCTTTTGCCAGTCCTCTCACCTGAAATGTCTTCTCCCCTGACTAATCATGCCCCAAGGTCAGGTTTAATTCTTAGGTCTCTGTGCGGTCTTCTCTGATCTCCAGCCTTCCTCCGCTGTGCTTCTCTATCCCTGTGTCTGCATCACTCATTTAGATGCCCCAGAATGACTAGAACAACAAATATTGTTGGAATAATGAATTCTTTAGGAAGCAGTGCGGTCAGTTTCCGTAACAACTGAAATAGCAGTTGGAATTCCTGGACCAGAACTGACAGGCTGCTTCTGCCAGGATGGTTTTCAGGTTAACTATGAACCTAACCAGACGCTTCTTACGCCATGTGGCTGCTGCCTTCTCACGGAGAACAAGCCACACAACTCCTCCCCGTTCCAAGCTGGTGCTTTTTCTTGCTCATTTGCAAAATAGTTTTAATTGGGGACAAATAATTGCACTGACTGCCCTCTGAGTCGAAAAAATGTTCAGAGAAAGTGTACCGTCTGGATCAGAGGGAAAAATGACAAGGATGGACCTAGTTGGCCCTTTGAATGTTGTTGTGAAAATTATTGCCTCTATGTTCATGAAGAAGGCAGCTCAGTAGCTATTTATAGAGAAATGCCTTCCAAAGAACAGATAAGATATCTCACAGGATAGGGCCTGGTGATCAAAAGGATTGAAAAGGGTTCTATGGTTGTTCACAAACAAGATGTAAGAACTGTGTTGGGGACTCCCCTGGTGGCGCAGTGGTTAAGAATACGCTTGCCAAGGCAGGGGACACGGGTTCGAGCCCTGGTCCGGGAAGATCTCACATGCCGTGGAGCAACTAAGCCCGTGCGTCACAACTACCGAGCCTGGGCTCTAGAGCCCGCGAGCCACAACTACTGAGCCTGTGAGCCACAACTACTGAAGCCCATGCGCCTAGAGCCTGTGCTCCACAACAAGAGAAGCCACTGTCGTAAGAAGCCCACGCACCGCAACGAAGAGTAGCCCCTGCTCGCCACAACTAGAGAAAGCCCGCACACAGCAATGAAGACCCAACGCAGCCAAGAATTAATTAACTGATAAATTAAAAAGAAAAAAAAAGAAGAACTGTGCTGTTGTACAAGACTGGGTCACAATCGTTGCCGAAAACAGAAAATTATTTGGAAAATGCAAAAATATCTTAAAGAGCCCCGTGACATCCCATTAACAGGCTCCTACAGTTTTTCACAACATTTTCTGGTACATTTCTTTCCTTTTTTTCTTTTTTTAAATCTCTTGATCATTATCTTGCTATTATCCAATCTATTTTGGCTTCTTTTTCCCTTCTCTGCTTTTCATGGCCTGCCTATCCCCCAAATGTAACATAACCTGAATTCCCATTAATTCCTATCCAAAGCCTTGGGAGAAGTTCTTCAGTTTGGAAAATCATCTGACTTTACAGGAGAAGTGTGAGACTAATGGCATAATGATCAAGACATCATTCAATGGCTGTAGCTTTCAGTGTAGCAGGAACACAGAGGGCCTTGTGTACCTTGGCATTGGTGCTGAACTACCGCTTTTAACTAGTAAGCTTTGGGAGGTACTTGTATAATATTTTGTGTTATTCTGTGCATTTTTTCACCACCGCACAACTAGTCCTATTTATTTCCTGGAGGAAAACTAAAGAAATGAGAATTTTTGCTTAAAACCCAATATCTCAATGCCTGTCATTATTTTATTAAGGTCTATTGTCATTTCATAGTTGCCCTGTTATTAAAGAACTATGAATAAATCTAATTTTTAGAGAGTATTTCCTTGGAGATCAGGTTAAACATTTTTGGTGGAATTGACTCATGTATTTGGTCAAATT